CATGTTTTATAACGCATGCAAATTCATTCCCCTCCTCCGCACATTTGCACACCAGCCCAAATATCCTCTTATGAAATACGTAGTATGGTACTGTTTGTTTTATCATCTGGTAAAACTAACAATTAAAAATAATTTGTTTCAAGCCGTTAAGATTGGGGAAGGACTATTTTACACCCTTTGGTATTTCATTTGACAAAAATGGTAACTTGCTAAATTGAAACATGAATGGATTATATCTTGTTGTAGCTTCATTGATGTTCTGTGATTGTGTATAATACTATGAAACCTTCAACAATTATGTAAGCAGATGGATTACCGAAAACTCCAAAAAATGATACTTATCGATGTTGAATAGAGTAAGCTTACAACCTGCTGGCGAAATAAGAGCATACAACTGGCATGTATTCGCTAACGGCTCACTCAACTCAAGATATTGTGGGATAGAAGAACATGGCATGGCCCGGTCAACATACCATGCTTTATTATGTTATAATCGTTCCACAAATTTGTTATTTCTTGTTTAATGTTTTAATTTTATTGTTTTGAAGCTCAAATATTTTTTGTTTAAAAGTTATGACGACATGAAATAATACAACCTCAATATTTTATGAGAATATTATTCAATATAATGCAACGTAACAATGAAACGTATAAGGATTTAATGAACTTCATATCACTAAATTAATATGAGAAACAAAAAAATATCAGCATTGTGATCATGTAATAAATGTCTTCATTTTATGGCATGCACAAATGATCGGTGCGGGTCAAATAATGTTGAATGCAAATAAAACCACAGAACGAGTATGTATAAACTTTAATCAACATCAAATAATAATTACACATAGATTCTTATGTTCGTTATTTGAACATGTTATCGTTAGATTTGAGCAAGACCAGCACCAACACACACAGGCGTACAACTTCACATACATACACATGTACACAAAAAAAAACATTTGCATACAAGCATGTAAAAAATAAACATACAAAAGCATACAGTAGACAAATATAAACAAACATACAAAACATATGACATACAAACTAGCTAAGAGATAGGTGCTCATCTAGGTAAACAGGCACTTGACAGTACAAAATAAGTACTCGTATTGTATATATATTTATATATCGCACATAATTTTAAACAACATTTTTGTAATACATACAACTGGTGAAATTCGCAATCAAGTTTAAGCAAGTAATTGTTAGGGCGATCTCGCTCGGCAAATAGCAAACAAACATTAAGTCGGTGAAATGTGAATTGATGTGCTCTAAAATTAATTAACCATTTAAATGTTTTAATCGATCACTCCAGTTAATAATTGTATTCAATACGTCTACCACCCAGATGGCAAAATGTTGAATTGGAAGTTTCTAAACTGAAGCAAAAATACGTCCAAACGCTTAAATGACCGTGTATTCGATTTAAAATTATGAAAAAATTGGATGACTGACTATAAAAGGACTTCTATACAATCTTGATTACTCATCATAATCTCCAGAACTCAACTATCGTCATAGTAAACATGTAACTACGATGAAATGTGCGGGGTGCATTAAGCAATGGGGATGACAAAGGGACTGCCGGGGACGTCATCTGAATCCCACCTGATGTGCAACTGATGGTCACCCTTCGATTCAGGTAGGTAGGTGCACACGTACTGACCTGTTCTCAGTCAGACATGTTTCAATTTAAATTTTCAAATAAGTTTTCTGTTGAATTATGTGAGTTAGGTGAGAGGTTATTAAATGATGAAGTGAATTTTCTATTTTTGTACAGTATTCAATTTTAAATGAGAATGAGTTATTAAAGTTAAATTGTTTGAATTTTTATATTAGAAAAATAATATTCAACCACATTTCATTACATTTTTAAAAAATAAAGTGGGACCTGGTTTCTGCTTCTTGCAAGTAAGCTCCTTCACAGGCAGGCCTTGAGGGGAAACCATGGCAACCACCAGCAGAGCATTGCCTGTTTAATTAAGTAGGAAGGCTGACATAAAAATGTGTGCTTTTTTAAATTATTAGTGTACGGCAGTTTAAAAACTTATCGCAAGCAACATTTTTTAACCATGTTTTTAAAATTCCTATACTCAAAAATATCTGGAAAAAGAGGCAAAATATTAGAGAACTGAATCATGCAAACATTTGACGTACCAGCTTCTTTGAAGTCCAAAGTGAAAGTGCCGACTCTGCTGATGAAGCCTTTCTTGAGGCCAGGGCCTTGCACAATGACCTTTGAACTGTCACCTCGCAGTGTTTTGCGGGTGGCACCTGGTTTCTTTTCTTGAGCTTGAACTTGGATGGTTGAGGTTTCTTTCGCGTCGATCGTTCTGCCTATGCCTTTTGTTCCAATGGTCATTGGTTGTTGAAATATTTAATAATTTCAAACACGCAATATTCTATATATAACTTGTCAATTAGGTGTGTAAATTTTTATTTATGAGATATTATAATAGCTTTGTTTTTTATTTTTGTTGTCGATTGCAATTTTCTCTTAATTTTTGATTATAAACTGACCTCCAATTTTAGTTTTGTACGGGCAGCCAGGTACAATCACGTTGCAGAACTTTGTGGTGACGTAGTAGTCACCTGGGTAGGTGGGCGTGTATGAAAATTCGTAGCCATCGTCAGTGTCGTTGCAGGATATGGCAACCCTTGACGGCCCTTCAACTTGCACCTGCAGTGGACCTATGCCCGCCTTTGAGGTTATCACGTAGAACTTGGTCAGCTGGCCTGGTGGTAGCGTTTATGAAAATGTTTTCTTTTAACTATAATTATTTTATTACATTAAAAATTACTAATTAATTTATTTAACAATTAATTTAAAAAAAAAACTTTTAAAAATAAGTTTGTGCCTCCATAATGAAAAATTACTTTGTGGCATGTAGAACTTACCAGCAGTGCCGCTGATGAGACCTCGGCCCTCCATCTTCACCATGGCTGGGTCGGCTCCCAACTGGCCGACGAGCATGGGAAATGGACTTCCAGGTATGTGAGTGTTATTGAATTTCAGCGATACGTAGTACACGCCGTTTTCATCGGGGACAAATCTGTATTGAAAAAAAAACGTTTATTTGAAGGTTAATATTTTCATTTTTCTGGTGCTGTGTGTTAATTTATTTCCGCTTAATTAATTTTTATAATTAAAATTGCGCATATATATATATATATATATATATAGAGAGAGAGAGAGAGAGAGAGAGAGAGAGTTCTAATATGTTTTAAAACGTAAGTTTTTATATACTTTTTACTACTAAATATATTGGCGTGCATGAAATAACTGAATTAAAGTTTCTTTCAGTTTTGTGCAGACGATATTTGAGTGAAACCGTTTCTATTCTACTCACAGCAAGTATTAAACTTGGCGAAATTTTTTTCGAATGATTCTGAAGTATTATTAAGATTCAAAAACACGTTCGTATATCAATACAGGCAACTCCTGACAACAAATGTAATGAATCTAACAAATGAAAATTGCTTACAGACCTGACCATTTGGTGACCAGCACCAATGTCTTCGAGAATGATTTCCTTCTTCTGACAAGATGGGGTAGTCAGGTGACCTTTCAACAAACCTTCTGCTCCGTTCAAATTCACTGAAAACGTGCATGGCTTACTCACCTAGGAGTTTAGGAATAATGGTATTGTGTTGGCTTTTTTTGCTTCATTATTTATTAGACTTTAGACAAGTGGAAATAAATTTATCACCAAAAATATTTATTCTTCATTTCAACTCATTTACTATTTATTGTCGTCACCACTGACATCGTCAATATCACATCATCACACATAAGCATCATACCGTCAACAAAACTACCTCCAGTCCCCGGTCCCTCATGGCATGGACGGAAACCTTATGGGCGTCCTTGCAGTCTGGATCCACGAGCACCTGGTGGTGGTGATGTGTTAGCGATTGTTTATCTGAACATCCGATGATGGATTGTTGCTTGATATATAATCAACTCTTTGAGAAAATGTAATTAATTCTTTATAGGATGTCTGAAAACACTTAATTTAGCTAGTTTTTAAATATTCCCAATAACATTCAAAAAGCAATGTGATCCAAAATAACACGATATAAAAGTTTCGACAAACCTTAAATGGTGATCTTGGAATGTGAACACCGTCATATTTCAAGCCTATCGTATACTCGCCTAACGATCGAAATTAAAAATTTCGATTGAATTAAAACTAATGAATAAATAAAGTTTTTATAAATAAATTGTAATTTAAAATGTTAACGATGACAACATTCTGTGCATTACGATTAAATAAACTAAAATTCAACCACATCCTCTTTCACCTTCTTTTTCGACTTTATAAGTAACGTGACAGAATCCAGTCTTGGTGTCCTTGATCTCCAATTGTGCCTCTGATGGCCCATCGACGGTCACCTGTAACATGCCTGAGCCCGCTTCCCGTGTGTACACGTTGAACGTGTCTGAAAGTGGAGAGGGGGAGTTGGTTCGATGAAGTTAAGGGTCAGTTGTTTTTGTTTAATATCTTAACTTTTAACATATAATTGTAAAAAATTTATAACATAAAATCTTTTCAAAGTGGCCACATTTTTGGGATTTTCATAATCATTATCATCATTCAACCTTATCACCTTAAATCTTAAACAATTTTTAAAGAGAAAATATGTTAACTAATTTACTTCTGGTATTCACCACACCCCTGTCGGCCCCGATCCCTCCAAACTCCACTTTGTGCAGGTCCCCATCGTTGATGGGTGAGCCAACTGTGAATGGCAAGGGACTGCCTGTTGTTTGCATGAGTGGTCAATATTTTCATACTTTCTGAAATTATGTTCATTGCTCTGTTCTCTCTCTATCAGTTCTCTATTTTGAATTACTTGGTATCTTGAAACAAAGAATTCCTCTTTATTGCATGCAAATGCGTATAAAGTTAATATGATCAATGTGTAAAAGTTTTGTAACAGATGATTGTCTTTATTTATTTATTTATTCGTTTATTTAAAATAATAACTCGAGCAAACTCCCGATATATTTGCAATCAAATTGAAATAAACAAACAACCTCAACCAAATTATAACCAGGTTTTTGGCTCATAATTCTAGCAAATATAAGGACAAGCATACTGTCTAGTTGAACAACTGAGAAAATAAAACGCATATTGTTCAGTACAAATTTGTCAAAATCAAAAAATATCGATCCAATGAACGGAATTTTTTCGCTTCCAAAATTTCAAAAGGTGTGAGAAGGAAGGATGACTATCAAAGTTGTAGGAGTAAAATGAACAACTCCCCAAATACAACGCAAATGTTAAAAACGTTCTCAATATTTATGTTGAAAGTTTAGTGAAATGATAAATTTGTTGACAATCATTCGATGATGGCAATTACATCATGAACCAACCGCTGATGTGAACTCCTTTCATTTTCAAGCTGAGAATGTTGAGCCCCTTCTCTACAGGACACACCTTGACAATGAACTGACTACCTGGTTGGTCACGAATCTCGCACAACTCCACCCCTCCCGATGGCTGGGTGAGGGAGGCCTCCATGTCCAGGGCACTGCACCCTTTGCATTGCGTCGCAAATTAAAACACATTTATTATTGACAAAATTGCGGTAAAAATGAATATTAAAATGTTTTTCATTATTTGTTGTCTTACTTGTTGTTAAATAAAGATTGTCAATAAAATGTTAATAATTGCTGAACAAAAAAATAAGCGAAGTTAAGAAAATAATATTTATTTATTTATTAATTTAAATATTCATTTGTTGTACACAACTGAAATTTTTATTACAAAATTAGATGGAAATAACCAGGCATGGCAAAGTTCAATTCCTCAGTTTTTCCCACCAGGACCACGGTGGGTGATTGGACGTGAGTGGATATTTGTGACCTTACCCTACCGCTGGACTCTCCCTCGATGTTCACTAAAAATGGACAGGCTGCAAACGGTCGGTGTTTGAATTTTTGCAATTTAATTTAAAACCAAAAGTACTGTAACATATTACTTAATGCACATTCAAATTTTCATACATTTTAACGATAACTTTATAAATAAAATGAAATTGGTTTCATAAGTATATTATACTTCAATAGAAACATGTTGTAGATTTTATTTAAAAAAAACTTTTACTAAAGCAATCATGCTTTCTCGAGTTGTTGCAAGATTTTGTAGGCATATTTTTTACTTGAGTCCTAATTTTATTACACACAGTCAAATGCTTTTCAGACCAAATTATCATAAACACAACTCTAGCTAGTTTTTAGTTATACGTTTCATAAAATATTACAAGTTTTAAACATCCTCATAGTGGTTTGTTAACATAATGCACATGAAGAAAAAGGGTGTTTAGTTTTTTGGAATAGGTTATGGACACACCCCCTCTTCCCACTCACTCTCAACATGTTCTCCGGCGTATTTGATGACCATCAAGTAGCGGCCAGGTTCTGGTGGTCGGTAGTTGATCAGGTACTCGCTACTCGAGACGCACTGAGACTCGAAGTCCGTTCTGAATGGACCTTCCATGCTCACGTATAACTCTCCGTATCCTAAAATAATGATAACGATATTAAGGCGAAAAGTAAACAATGAGAGTTATAATTGTAATAAAATATGAATAATTAAATGAAAAAAGGATGAAAGTTCGATGTTGTTTCAGAAGTTTCAAACTGAATCTCACCAGCTTCTCCGATATCAACGGTGACCTGGTTCCAGCAGTTTGACTTGCCTTTCTTCAGAGCACCTTTCACTTTGACTTTTGATGGATCAGTAAGTTTGGTCACTTCAATTTTGAAAGGGCTGCCCTTGAACTTGTGACCCTCCCTACTGACGTCAACGACGTACGTACCAGCTTCTCGCGCACTAAACCCCGTGATGGCTGATGTGATGAATAGCACAAACATATTTTTTTTTCAATTTATATGTATATATATACTGTTACAGTTTCCAAATTTTTTTTACAAAAATTTCTTATTCAATAAAGTTAAAAAATAGATCAAACCAAAAATAATACCTAATTGCCCATCCTGTTGAATTTTTAATGGAATTTGAGTCATTGCAATAGCAGGTCCCTTGAGATAAGCAATGAGGCCCGTAAGATCAACCGCGTTGTCACACAAGTTATATTCTGAAGGAGTCGAAATTATGTGACTTGTTTTTTTGGTACCTTGACCTGTAAATAAGCAAGATGGCTGAACTAAATCAAAGGAAAATATAAATAATGCACGTACAAGTAAATATTTATACCAGAGCTAACCCATTCAAGCAGAGATTTTTATTTCAATCTACCTGATATCTTAGCAGAGAAAGGTGATCCATGAATATGACTCCCGTCAACGACGACGTCGATGAAATACTCCCCTGGCGTGAAGGGAATGTACTCCACGTACAGACCATCCTCCTTCGTCTTCTCGTTGATCTCCGCCTTCTCCGGGCCGTTAATTTTGATCGCGACCTCATCTGATAAATGGCGTAATGTTGATGCTAACTACATTCATAACAACATCACCGATCTGGTTTAACAATGAGAAGAATGATGATGACGTGGAAAGGTGGGGTAGCAGACTTAATATTGAACATATTTCACATGAGATTACCAAGCTTTTTGGCTTTGACCACTCTGAAGAATGTTTTCTGACCACTGCGGCCTTGAACCAAACCAGGACCGTAGGCAGTCGCGTAAGCTCCGCCGATTTCTCCCACATTAATTCTTACTGGTGTGCCTGGTTTTCATTGAAATAAAAATTAACAACAAACTTAAATGACAGATAAAAAATGTTTATGTATATAGTTTTTGGTCAACATTGGTTTTTATATGTTTGCATATAAATTGCATATGTTTGCATAAATTATTTTTTAAATAGAAATTATAATTATCCAATCATTTTGAAATTTTAAGACGTTTATTCTAGTCAATCATACCCATTCACCATTTTTTAACTCTAGACTTGTTTGTTTATCGAGGATCGACGAATATGTAAAAACTGTATGCAAAACTAATACGAAAGATAAATAAGAAGTGTACAACCACATATGAACAACAACAAAATGTAAACCAGGAACTGCACAACGACAAGTGACGCACAGGAACCTTCAACTGGTTGATCATTGTGTGAGAGACTGATTTCGTGTGCACCTTCCAGCGTTGGGACGTGTCGGATGCTCACAGAACCATCATTGTTTGGATGCACTGATGGTATGCACGCATTTTGAGAGGGCATGTCTGCTGGGATGGTCAGAATGATGATGACAACGACGACGATGATGATGACAATGATGATGACGATGATGACGACTATGATGATGATGATGATGATGATGATGATGATGATGATGACGACGACAACGACGATGATGATGATGATTGTAATAATGACTGATGATGATCGATGATAATAGTAATGGGGATGATGATAATAAGGACTCTGATACAAAAATGATGATGACGATGAAGGCAAACAAGTTGCTAATGATAACATAAAATAGCAATAAGTTAGTATGTTGAATTAATTGAAAAAGTGTTTCTATTTGTCAAAAGATGAAAGACTGGATAGATGAAATGATGATTTTGAATGGAAATAAGAAAGATGAAAGAACATGTGTAAGTATAACTGTAAAACTGTTGAGCATCTCTCATCATGTATTGTTGTGTAAAAATTAAAAACAATCAAGCAACAAATTTTCTTCGTTATTCAGCTACAATCACCCTTGCTCATAAATTACGTCTTATCTTGCTCAGACTAATGCAGCATTCATCATTCATCATTAAAATATTCTTCCACTGCTTGTATGGCGTCTGTAAAGTAAAAAGTGTAACATTGAATATGTTATATGGTTAAATTATACACAGTGAATGTCGGTTAATCGGATCACCGATTGATAGATTAGACGCTTACTCGAGCAAAACTTTCAAAAATGGAATGAAATCCTACAAGGTAAACAGGCAAGGCCAGTTTAGTTCGCTTCAACGGAAAAAAATTTAGTCAAAAAAGTCGCCAAATCGAACGTCAAACATTGTTATTTAAGTGTTTCTCGAGCAAAAATGCATGTCTTTACTTTCTTTGACTTTATTTAAAATTTTACGAAAAATCTGCAATTTTAATGTAAGGTCTACTTATTATTTATTATGTCCCAGTTTTCCTATTAGGCATCGGTGTTTAGAGCTGGAATTTTGTTCTTTTCCAAAATAGTGTAGTGCAAGATGAAAATATTTTTACAAAAGAATGTCTGAAACTGTACAACACCGCGCACACATGAAACACTGGCAACATTCGCTCGATGGTTCAACGGTTTCTCTTCAATCGGAGAAGCCGTGTCGTAAATAATCCTCCATGATCATGTTATTATATATGTTATTATATATATATTACATATATATATATATATATATATATATATATATATATATATATTACATTATATATAATATATGTATCGGTTCACATGTTGTGTCGGGTTGAAAACAATTACGAATGAACGGCAGGAACATAATTCACACAAAAAGTGAACAGGTAGCGACACGAGAAACAAACGAACATCATGTTCGGTAGAGACGATCCTCATCATTTTTATAGCGCCGACATTTATATTAATTATTATTTATTGACCCATTTGTTGTTATTTCTGAGATTTTATAAGCGGTGTTATTATCAATTCAACATTTGCAATTAACTTGCTCATGTTGAAAACCTTTCATCATTTGTTATCGTTGTATCGTTAGAGTTATAAAAGTTATTCTCCTAATTTCTTAGTTGTCTGTGTTCGCTACAATTTAATGAAAGGAAACATGTCACAATAAAATTGAAAATAAGTAAAGTGATTGCCGATTGTTCATAGCAAAATATTAATGAAAATACTTTTATTAATAAAAAATAAAAACCGTTTATTTGTATTTTGTTGAAACTGGATCTTAAAAGGTTAAATGTATTTTAATAGAATTGATTTTTAGACAGACACTGTTTATGTGCGTGTATAAGCGTACTTGTAGGGAGGCTGGACTTGTGCGTGTACAACGGCTATCCGATCCCGTGCTATGAAGCATTTTGTTCTTCACGTTAAAATGAAGAAGGCCTAAAACACGATATAGGTTTTTCTGAAGCAGATCTTTTCAAGATTACTTGGTTCTATGATTTGTGTTCATATCTTTATTTAAATTGTGTAATATAAGTGAATCAAGAAAACAGATTAATTAATAAGTTAGGAGGTGGCTCGGTTGTGGGTGTGTCTGAGTTGGCTTTTCTGGTTGTCTTAGGTGGTTGGTATCGTGCAGTGCAATGATCGGTTCCGGGAATATCTCATGTAATACCAACATTTAATGTAGGTTCTTAGTTTCTCTTATCTGAAAATACTACGGTTCTCACGCTGGCACTTCGTTTGCGTTCATAAAAGACACTAGAATAACATTTTGTAGTTTAGTTAAATATTTTTTTTTAATCTTTTTTATTATTGCAGCTCTGACATACGCAGAACCACTTACAATGTTACAAATATATTATCTATATACTTTTTATTATGTTCTTCATATCTTCAACCCTTTATTTAAAGTAACCATCTTTGCCACAAAGGCTGTTTATTGCTTTCACACGGCGTACACATGTATTTATGTGCACGCGCAAGCATCGCATCATATACGCTGAGTATATGATAGCCATTGAGATGTTTGACTCAGCGAGCATCTGAACCACTGAGCCATATCGCCGGCCAACATGCGACAACTTACGTCGTCTACCCATTTACCAGCCTCAAAAGGATGAACGGCTGGCTTGGCCGGGGTCGGCTACCCGGATGAACCTTTAGAAACTGCAGAATTCGAACCCGGGTCGTGGGAGTTGTAGACGGACACGGTAATCACTCGGCCCCTAAAACTTTTGAAAATGCTATTTTTAAAATGAATTTCTAAAACTGGTCAGTTGATTCATTTCATTTGCAAAATCTTTATTTCACTGGGCAGTTCCATAATTTGATCTTATATAAAAAAAACGTTTGGATCATTGTTTCGCAGATGTGTCGACATTTTGTATTTTGTGCCGATTCAACGTTGAAGTTTTGTTAAACGACAACAGAAAATTTAGTTTGAGTCATTCGATCGATTCTCCATAAAAAAATTTAACCGGAAAAAGTTTCAGCTCATTTCACATCTTACAACAAAAACATTTGATTTAAAAACATTATGAAAAAAGTGGAATAACTTGAAAAATCCGCCAAGTCCCTTACAAATGTAATTATTTTGTACGAACCATTAGTTCGCGGTTTTATTTTAAAAATTTGTGTTTTTTGTATTTTAAATCATAATAACATTTACCAGCAATAGGATTATTTGTACTAATGATAACGTCTGGTGGAGTTGCAGTTGTGGAGGTCATTCTGCCTTTTTGTTCGTCTCTGCTAACTTTTCTATCGTCGATAATAATGATGATTGAAAAGATTCTTCCGATAAATGTGTTGTTATTTCAGTTCATCTCTTATCATGATGTTGTTTTTGTTGCTGTTGCATCTGCTAGTGTGGTGTTAAAAAAATGTTCGAACAAGCATCATTGAGGGCACAGATGTATGATTTAGATGCAGGATTTGGTGGAGGAAGATGGCATTACATTTTGTTTTTTATGTCGAGTGCTGGCTGGCTGAGAAATGGGTGTGAATAAATCTTTCATAATTCTCATCTATAATATTTTGACAGCTAGCGTTATAAAACATTTAGATAAACACAAACATACAACTTAACATATTAATGTTTTTTTTCTCAATGTTCACACATCAATCGCAGAATCACATGTATATTTAAAACATACACGTTTGTACTCATACGTGTGTGTGTGTGTGTGTGTTTGAGTATTTGATATATGCTTATGTACGTGTGCATATTTGTGTGTGTACATAGATGTAAAAACATTTTTTCTACTTTTAATTAAAGTAGTATACATTTTCATACACATGTTTGATGCACTCAAATTTGTTTCCACAGACTGCCATGAAACACTTGGAAAACTATTTCAAGGTGTATTTTATAATTATCATCTGACATGCTTGGGTTTGTTTTCTTCAATAGTTTATAGTTTTATTTCTTTTGCAAAAAAAAACATTAAAAAGTTTCTCAACAGTCAGTCGGATAATGAACAATGGCAACATGTTGCTTGAAATGATTGTATGAATCGTGGGAACAATTTCATCAGTGCCGTACAGAATTCCACCAAAGAAGAATGTAAAATAAAACTTTCGATAAATTTAACAACGCTAAATGTAATTTATTCCACTTTTCAAAGCATACACTGACAGAGCAACAAAGTTTCATCATAAACTAGGTTGGTGCATGAATCTCGTGTGGATTGCTTGCAGAAATAACGTTGTAGTAGCTAAGCAACAAAATCATTTCAGTTGTTGTTGCGGTTTTTGTTGTTGTGATGATGTCGTTTTTGTTGTTGTTGTCATGAAGCGAGTAAGTTTGGTGCAGTGCAATAATAAAATATTTTATGCCACATTTTTATTGATGCGCCATGACAAGCGATGAAGCGAGGAATGTTTATTGATGCATCGGCAGTCATGATAATGATCCTGTTTCGAGATGTTTAGATGATGATGATGATTGATGATGGTTGTGATGGAAATAGTGTTGATGATGATGATGATGGGGATGATAATGGTTGTAATGGGGATAGTGTTGATAATAATGATGATGATGATGATGACGATGGTGATGAGGATAGTAATGATGATAATAATGAAGATGATGGTGATGATTTGAAAGATAATGTCATTCTTGTTGTTTTGTTGATAAAAATTCAAAACTGAGATGGCTCTGCAGGTAACGTTGGCTCTACTCTTTAAAGATTAAAGACTCGTAAGTTACAAATTGAATGATAAATCATGATGAAGAAGAAGATAATGATGATGATGAAGAAGAAGATAATGATGATGAAGAAGAAAAAGTTGATGTGTAAAAAATATATAAGATGATGGCGATGCTTTCTGATAATGGTAATGATAAGATGTTTAGACACCGACGGATCTAGACAACTTTGACGGGAGAAGCCAAAATTTTGAAAATATTCAAATTTTTACACGGAGGCCAAATTTGTGGTAATGTGGCTAAAGACCTTTTTTAATTATCACCTTCAATTTTTGATCGATTTCTACCTAAAGCAGTCCTTCTTCCGACTGTTATTAAAATACTGCTCACAACGGGGGGCACTGGCACTACCGCCGCCCCCCTCCTTAGACTCGCCTC